GATCCTTCCGCCTCAGCCTTCCAAGGAGCTGGAACTATAGGCGCGCGCTACCACGCCCGGCTAGTTTTTTATTTATTTTAGAGATGAGGTCTCGCCAAGTCGCCAGGCGGGTCTCGAACCCGCGGGCTCAGGCAATCCACTCACCTCAGCCTCCCAAAGATGCGGGATGACAGGCTGAGCCACCGAGCCCGGCTTCGTCCTTTTTTTTGAGTTGGCTTCTCACTTTGTCGCCCAAACTGGAGTGCAGTGGCACGCTTCTGGCCACACGAACTCGACCTGCTGGGCTCCAGCGATCCTTCCGCCTCAGCCTTCGAAGTAGCCGGAACTACAGGCACATGCCACCACGTCCAGCTAGTTTTTTGTGGTTTATTGTAGACACAAGGTCTCACTAAGTTGCTGGGTGGTCTCGAACCCACGGGCTTAGACAATCCTCTCGCCTCGGCCTCCCAAAGTGCTGGGATTACAGGCTTGAGCCACCATGCCCAGCCCAAACTCATCTTTTTGCGCTGCTCATCTATAAGCCCCATGGAAGCCAGTGCCAACAGGTAGAGTGGTCACTGTTCGGCCTGCACGAGAAGTCCCCCAAGTCCACCTGGGCTCTTTCCTCACTGCAGGAAGCCACCCCGGCTCCCTCTGCGCCATCTCCAGGCACATGCTTGGTCCACCTCCACCTCCCCTAGCACAGCCTGGACACCTGTCCTTTTGATAAGACGGACAAACTCATTTCACCCAGCACCGCGGGCAAGTCCCATCTGCCCCAAGCCCCACACCCTCTGGAACTGTGTGTTGTCTGCACTTCCTCTTTGAAAGTCTCTCTCGTCCAATGGCTTGTGTAACAATCGAGGATCATGACCGAAGAATAAAGCTGTATCAAGAATAGTAGAAGCCAAAGCCGGGTTCGCTGGCTCAGCCTGTCATCCCGCGCCTTTGGGAGGCTGAGGTGAGTGGATTGCCTGAGCCCGCGGGTTCGAGACCTGCCCGGGCAACTTGGCGAGGCCTCATCTCTACAATAAATCAAAAATCAGCCGGGCGTGGGAGCACGCCCCTGTAATTCCGGCTACTTGGAAGGCTGAGGCGGAGGATCGCCGGAGCCCAGCAGGTCGAGGCTGCGGTGGCCAGTAGTGGCCAC